ATGGGATACCTCCGGAGAGACAAGTGGAGTTCAGGATTGACCTAGTCTTGGGTGCGGCTCCGATAGCCAAGGCACCATATCGGTTGGCTCCTCCCGATATGTAGGAGCTGTCTACACAACTGCAGGAGTTGTTAGGCAAGGGAGTCATTAGGTCGAGCAGTTCGCCTTGGAGAGCCCCGATCCTGTTTGTAAAGAAGAAGGACGAGTCGCATCGGATGTGTATAGATTACCGGGAGCTGAACAAGGTAACGGTGAAGAACCGTTACCCACTGATCTCTTCGACCAGCTACAGGGGGCATCTTGGTTTTCCAAGATAGATTTGCGTTTAGGCTACCACCAGATGCAAGTCAGAGATGAGGATGTACAGAAGACTGCTTTCTAGACTAGTTATGGCCACTACGATTTCGTGGTGATGCCCTTTGGGATCACCAATGCTCCTTCTGCGTTCATGGACCTCATGAACCACGTATGCAGACCGATGTCGGATCGGTCAGTGATAGTCTTTATCGATGACATCTTGGTTTACTCCAAGACGCAGGAGCAACACAAGAAGAACTTGCAGGAGGTTTTGGATTCCCGGAGGAGGGAGAGCTTGTATGCCAAGTTCTCCAAGTGCGAGTTCTGGTTGCATGAGGTGCGGTTTCTGGGGCACCTTGTCAACCAGAACGGTATTCTGGTCGACCCGGCCAAAGTGGAGGCCATGATGAGATGGGAGGTTCCGAAGTCTCCATCTGAGATTCGGAGTTTCCTCGGGTTAGCAGGCTATTACCAGAGATTCATTCAGGACTTCTCCAAGATAGCAGTACCCTTGACCCGACTGACGAAGAAGGTCGTTATATTTCATTGGGGACCTGAGCAGTAGGCAGCATTCGAGACGTTGAGATAGAGATTGTACGAGGCGCCAATCTTAGCCCTACCATAGGGCGTGGAGGATTTTATAGTGTATTGCGATGTGTCCATTTCGGGCTTGGGCGCAGTCTTGATGCAGAGGGGGCACGTCATCGCCTACGCTTCGAGGCAGCTGAAGCCTCACGAGGCGAACTACCCGACGCACGATCTGGAGTTGGGGGCAGTTGTTGTCGCCCTCAAGATTTGGCGACATTATCTCTATGGGGTCCTTTGTACCATTTACACGGATCACAAGAGCTTGAGGTACCTCATGGATCAGCCGAATCTGAACATGAGGCAGCGCCGGTGGTTAGATGTGGTGAAGGACTACAACTGTGAGATCCTTTATCACCCGGGGAAGGCCAATGTTGTGTCCGATGCGCTTAGCTGCAAGGCATTTGTAGCCCCGATCAGAGACACCTGTCTGAGGATGATAGTAGTGACTCCACTTTTGGAGAAGATCCGAGAGGCCCAGTAGGAGGCTATCAAGGAGGAACATCGGAAGATCGAGCATATTGTGGGATAAGTTTCCTCATTCGACTATGATAGTCGCGGGTTGTTGACACTCCATCGTAGAGTGTGAGTCCCATATCATGGAGGTGTGCGCCAGGTTTTGATGGAGGAGGCGCACAAATCCAAGTTTTCTATCCATCCCGGGGCAACGAACATGTATAGAGATCTCCGTCCTGATTACTGGTGGCCCTGCACGAAGCGGGATGTAGCCTGGTACGTTAAGAGGTGCTTGACCTGCAGGAAGGTCAAGGCCGAACACCAGAGACCTCACGGCAAGACACAGCCGTTGGATATCCCTATGTGGAAATGGGAGGATATTATTATGGATTTCATCACGAAGCTTCCCAGGACTGCACGGGGAGTGGATTCGATTTGGGTAATCGTGGATCGGCTGACCAAGAGTGTCCATTTCATCCCGATCCAGGAGAATATTTCGGCCTAGAAGCTGGCTGACATCTACATATCAGAGAGATAGTAGCTCGACACGGAGTGCCAATTTTCGTGATTTCTGACCGATACGTACGGTTCAATTCCAGATTCTGGAAGAAATTTTATGACGGGTTGGGTACTCGTCTACACTTTAGCACTTTTTTTACCCGCAGACGGATAGTCAGAGCGAGCGGACCATCCAGACCTTGGAGGATATGCTGCGGGAGTGCGTTTTAGACTTCGGTGGTAGCTGGGATACCTACATTCCCTTGGCAGAGTTTTCCTATAATAATAGCTACCACGCCAGCATCGACCATCCTCGCTTCGAGATGTTATTTGGTAGGAAGTGCGGAATCCCAATATGCTGGGGTGAGGTTGGACAGAGGGCCATGGGGAGTACCGAAGTGGTACTCAAGACGACAGATAGGATCCACCAGGTCCGGAGTAGGCTTTAGACTGCTCAGATTCGGCAGAAAAGTTGTGCCGACAAGCGTCGTTCGGACCTGGAGTTCCAGGTCAGGGATATGGTCCTCCTGAAGGTGTCACCTAGGAAAGGTGTCATCCGATTCAAGAAGCGGGGCAAATTGGGCTCCAGGTACATTAATGCTTTCAGGGTTGTGGCCCGGGTGGGCAAGGTGGCGTATCGGCTGGATCTGTCAGCCGAGCTTAGTCAGATCCAGAGCACCTTTCATGTCTCCCAGCTGTAGAAATGCTTGGTAGATGACTCTGCAATGGTTCCCCTAGAGGATATTCAGGTGGATGACAGCCTGAACTAAATCGAGTGGCCGGTAGCCATCCTCGACAGGAAGACGAAGGATCTAAGGAACAAGAGGGTTGAGTTAGTAAAGGTGCAATGACAGTACCGCAAGGGCTCATAATGGACCTAAGAGTCGGAGGACGAGATGAGGGAGCACTACCCAGAGCTATTTTCAGGCGCAGCAGACTTCGAGGACGAAATCGAAAATAAGTGGGGGAGATTTGTAACGCCTGGATTCTGATATGTGTTCTAAATAAAAAATTATTCATTTTTGCAAGGGGACTCGACGAGTTAAAGGCCCAAACTCGTCGAGTAGGAATGGGAATTTGGACGCGGGACTTGAAGTCTACTCGACGAGTTGAGAAGCCTCAACTCGACGAGTAGAGCTTCCAGAGTGAAATCCTAATTTTCAGGTTTGCACCCTATTTAAGCACCTTAAATCTTCATTATAGCCTCCCTCATCGCCTTCCTCAGTCCAGCAAAACCCTAATTCGTGATCTAGAGCCTTTTAAGTGTGTGTGAGAGTGAAAAGAGAGTGATTATTTGGTATTTCCTTGAAGGAGTGGAAGCTTGAAGTGCTTGGTTGAAGAAGGGAGCTTTGGATCCAGAGATCTCATTGTCAAAGCAGCCTTACTGATGTATAAAGTCTAAACCATGACTATTCATTTACTAGATCTCTTCATGGAGTAGTTTAGGGCTTTAAGGAGCATATTTTGGAACCATTCATGGATGCCAGCATGTTTTGGAGTCATGACTTCAGATCTGGAACCTTTGAGGGACTCCATGGCATAAAGGTGCCAACTTTATGGAAATGGGAGTCCCATGCAACTTGTGAACCACTTTTTAGGGTTTTTCGAGCTAAATAACTCATGCATGGACGTGAAGTTAGAAACTTTACGTGATATATCGACCCTAGGGAACCATATCTATGGTTTAGAAGCTTAGAACCCGACTAGAAACGACTGAATAGATTTAGACTATGGGTGACTCGACGAGTTGTTCATATAACTCGACGAGTTGGGTCGTGGTCCCCCAACCTTTTCTATTACTAAGCAAACTCGTTGAGTCTAGAAGATGACTCAGTGAGTTGGCCATGGTTTGGGTTATGAAGATTGAGGAACTGGACGAGTTCAAGGAGGGACTCGGCGAGTCGTGAGTAAAAGGTCCCGACTATGCTATGAAGATGAACTCGACGAGTTCATGAAAGGACTCGACGAGTTCATGAAAGGACTCGACGAGTAGGATCGAGATTTCAGGGTTTTATGGATTATGGGTCTCGATGAGTTGATGGACCAACTCGGTGAGTTGAGTCAACCAGGATGTTGACTTTGACCAGGATTTGACTTTGACTTTGACCATTGACCAGGTTGACCCTTAAGGGGCAATGAGTATGAAAGAGTAATTAAAAGAGATTGTTATGTGTAGGAGTTTGAGAGGAGTTGATCTCAGAGCCGAGGACATTTCAGCTACTTCACGATATTAAGGTGAGTTACCTTCCAATAGAAGTGGGTCTAAGGCACCAATGCTGTCGGCCCACTAGTAAGAGTTATGTTAGAGATGATTGTATTTGTGATAATTATCTGGTATGTCACTATCTGTTATGCTTTATCTGCTAGTATGCTATGATGTTATGTGATAGTGGTAGGAGGGTTAGGATAGACCTCGGTACCCGTCGATAAGGACGAAGGGGTATCCCAGCACCCGGATAAGCTAGGCAGTATATGATTTATATGTCTATGCACTACGATGCTATGTTGTAAAAGTAGGGGTGAAATAGTCCCCGGTACCGGTCGAAAGAACCGAAGGGGTAGGCCAGCACCCTGATATGCTAGGCAAGGTACCGGTCGAAAGGACCGAAGGGGTAGGCCAACACCCTGGTATGCTAGGCTAGTTACCGGCCGACAGGATCGAAGGGGTAGGCCAACACCCTGATAAGGTAGGCAAGTTACCGGTTGAAAGAGACCGAAGGGGTAGCTAGTACCTGGATATGTTAGACAGTATGTGTTATGTATGGTATGTGGTATGATTGGGGGGGGGGGACTCATTAAGCTTTGTGCTTACGGTTTACAGTTTTGGTTTCAGGTACTTCTTCTTCGAAGGGGAAAGAACCGGCATGACTGCAGCGCATCACACACACGATTTTCCGCATATGAGATTCTTGAGATTTGTACTCTGACATTATTAATATCTGATGACATGCTTTTGAGACATTTGATCTATGGTTTTTATGAAATAAGATAACTTGATGTTGTTTTCTATAAATTGTTTTATGAATCGTTAAATCAAAAATGAAAATTTTGGTCTTAAAATTTGGGATGTTACAGAAGAACCCTGATATATTTTTAGGTAAAAAAGAGAAGTCATATCTATAGAAACTTCAGTCGACTTAAAGTCATATCAACGTTCTAGTTATCGCATATTCCACAAGTAACTCCACCTCATAAATTATTTTTCTTGAACTTAGATTTATCTTTAAGAAATCTCTTCCGGCAGGGGCGAAACTAGAAATTTTCGGCAGGAGTAGCACAAAAAATTCCTGGTATAATATAAAGAGTAAAACCAAATTAATCACAAAAATTTCACTGGTTATGAAATAGAGAATATAAAATGAACTAAAAGAAAAAGGCATACCTTATAAGTTTTATGTTCACATCAATGCTAGTTGTATGTTACAAATAAACAGAATCTGTAAACATAAAAAATAAATAGAGTATCACATAAACAATACATACACATATCACACACATAAACAGACTGTTGTGATCATGTCAAATATAACCAATATTTTTTATCCCATTCTTGTCTCTAGTTTTTAGTGAGAACGAAAATCATACATACCACACACATCAGAACATAAACATAAGCAACACACATATCATATTAACGAAGTATTTGACTATTCTTTAGCATATGGTTGCTAATTAAGAGTAACTTATATGAAATCATGAAATTCTTTCGCATATGGTTAATTAAGAGTAATGAAGGGATTGATCAAACATAATCACATTTATGAGATTACATAAGGGATCAGCTAGTTTGGATTGAATACACGAAATAGCGAAGTAGTTCGATTTTTTTGTTTTTTTATAGAATACAATACAAAATCAAATATAATACAAAAAAAACTAATTACTGATTCTATTCACTTATATATTTTGGTTCAAGCATTTAATCAAACAGGTGATGTGCAAAATCCAAAATTAGTTATTTGTTTGTCAAACCAACAACCAAAAGACTTGTACAAACAAATTACAGATTTTAGGGACCAAAAACTTTTCTATACCTTGTTCAATTGATCTTATGTACTACGATGTAAGTGGCAAATGGTTTTGTTCAAGTACCGACAATTCCACCCAATCAACAGATGAAACTCCCGTTGATGAAGTCATGTTTATGGATTCGCCTTTCAGGCCGACCTGTAAAACCAGATCCAAAGAATAAGCGGCGAAATTGAGCCTCGATTCAAGAAAAGACGATCGAAATTGAAATCTACATACTAATTTCAAGTGAAACAGTCCTTGTGTGACTATTTCCATTGATTCTTCATCTTCCTCAGACACATCTAATGAGTAGTACCTCTGCAACATCAATTTTATTTACGCTTTTCCAATGATTTTAAGGGATAGCACATGCTACCCCCTGGCTACTAGCTAGCTCCGTCTCTGTTCTCCAGTATTCAGCTCCAATTTCACTTTTTTTTAACTGTCGACGATCTTAATCTATAAATCATCAATTAAAACATTATAAATACATTTATCTTAATTTCCATCAAAATTCATTGTAAATTTACTTGAAATTGCACAAAATATATGTATAAATAAATACCTTTATCTTAATTTCCATCAAAATTCATTGTAAATTTACTTGATATTGCACAAAATAAATGTATAAAATCGAGACTATCATGTTATTATTAACAAGCCTATAAAACCAGTTTTCTAAAATTTGCTGACGTACAATTATAAGAAAATACAAGAAGTAAAGAAGAAGAATAATAGAAGACGTGTGACGGTAGCAATCCCAATAAATAAGTAAAAAATAATAAATGATAATAGTTTAATGCTAAAATCCTTGTTTCTTTTGGAAATTAGTCATTACCATAATTTCAAATAACATTACTGATGGATCGGACCCCAAACAATGTAATGACCAAGGCATTTACATATGGCAAAGGGTATCTCTACTACCTATCTTGTCTTTTAATATATTTATAAAAATAAAAAAAGTTTAGAGTTTTGGTGTAGGTTTGTAACTTTGTATTATTTATCATTTGCGTTTGATACGTATGGTTTATTCACGTTGGATACGGTGGAACTTCTTAATAGAGTAAAAGTAATGATGGATAGCAATGTTATATTCTTAGATCTATGAATGTAGTCTTCAAAAGAATTGGTTTTACTATACAAAAAGGCTTAGCGGATGCAATTTGTTGACCGTTTGTCTTCTCAGTCGTTGTACTGTGATAACTAAGGTGTTGTTTGTTTTTTCTGAAGCAAAAAGTCTGCTGTCTGCGGACCACATCTGTACAGCTCTGCAGTAGAAGATTTGGATCAAACACAATCTGAAAAAAGAAGACTGTTTATTTTTTTAAATCTACAGGCCACTAAAATAAACTAAAATCTAAATAAATTGATTTTTTTAAACTTCAAAGTGATTTTTTTAATATTTTTTGACTTTCTTATAAATAATTAACAATCTAGATCAACTTTTATGTATTATTATATAAAAAGTGAAAATAAAAATGGTACTAATTAATGTATATATTTGATTAAAAACCAACAATTTTGGTCGCGAAGTTATACCTAAACATTGTAATTAGAAATCAAAAAATTTGATACGTACCATAAATATTTTCTCAAGAAATTAATGATACTGTATTAAATAATGTTTTTTAAAATTTGGCCCAAAAAATATAACAATATATTATGGCTTTTTTGTTCATATTTATATAGACAACTTCAACGACCATTATTATAATAAATCTTTATTTATAAATTTGTCAAAAATATCATGTTTGTGTCGTCAAACCTTTTTTTTTAAGTTTTGTAACTTTTTTTTTTCAAATTGTTTATCATTAATAAAGTTGGAATAAATATAAATTAAAAAAAAAACTAAAAAAAATAAAGATATATGTGTTTTTAGACTAGAAGATGTGTGAAGATGTTAGAAGACTATGGTCCACATCTGCGCTAAGAAGAGGACGCACAAACATTTTTAGGTCTGCAGTTTTCAAAAAAACAAACAGTCTGCTAAGGTTAATGTCTGGGCATAGTCTGCGCGGAACAGACAGAAGAGACCAAGAAGATCTACAGACAAAAAACAAACAACACCTTAAAGATGAACTCAATATATATTTAAAGTTCACAAAAAAACAAGTGACTATAGAGTCATTTTTTACTAGACAATTCTAAAATTTTGCAATATTTTAGTAATTATTAATTTATTGTTTCGCTGTGACCAATATATTTATATTGGGATTTCAAAAAAATTATTATTTTATTATTTTATCGATTGGAGTCCAATTTTGTACGGGTCCCAAGTTGGAACCGGACAAATTATTAATTTTATCGAGGTTATTAATTTATCAAGTATTAAATTATAAAGGTTCTACTGTAGTATGATAAGATATCGAGATATTTATTATTGACAAAATAAACCTTTAAATTTTAAATTTTACTTTAAACTTTTTCAGATTCAATATGTTTTTTATTAAATAAAATATCAATACTAACTAGTCATAATATTTACGTTTAGAAGGTTTAATGAAAAATAAATTAAATTTTTTTTTTCTGTGGATGTATACACATATTTAAAAAAAAACAATACTATAAAAAAATATCCGATTTTCATTAATAATAGGTTAAGACGCTCATATAAAAAGTGATTCGTTGAAAAAAAATTATTTTTTTAAAAAATCTTCACGGTTAAGAGGCACAAATATATTAAATTTGTATACTTTATGATCTATTTTAGGCTAGATATTATTTATGAAAGGCTTCATAAAACATATTGATAGTTTGCTATATTATTTAAATTATAATTTGTAGTCAGCAATATGCGACCTTGAACGCAACAACAATAAATAACTTTTTAGGTAAATATGGTAAAAAAATTTAAAAAAAGTTTTAAAAAATAAACAAAAGTTAACTATGAGGCAACGAACTATTTTATCTACATTAAGAAATCAAAATAATATATATATATATATATATATATATATATATATATATATATATATATATATTTCAGCACAAAGAAAGGTGAAAATAGTTAAATAGAAATTACCAATGATAATACATATATTTTACATGGGTGTGGATATACGTCATTAATATCATTAATATGTACTCATAAATAATGAAATAGTTTTAATAATAAAAAACAATTTGTTTACAATTAATTATAGAAACTGATTTGTTCAATTATTATATTTTTAATGGTCAAAGAGTATATATATATATATATATATATATATATATATATATATATATATATATATATATATAAAAGGATAAAAGTCATACAATTTAAAACTAGACAAAATTACAAGAATGGTCCCTGTGGTATGTCAAAACTAGCAATTTTGGTCCAAAATGGGTTTGCTTCGCAAGGATGGTTCAATAGTTTCGTTTTGTTGCGAGTTTAGTCCAATTTCCTATGAACTTTTTTATAATGACGGATTTGCCCCTTATTATTTTATTTTCCATTTTTCTTTTATTACAATAATTAAAAACAATTAAAAATAAAACAAAATAAAATAAATAAGCTATAAACCCAAACACGTCGTCTCCCTCCCCTATTTCTTCTACAGTGTTTCCTCTCCACCGGTATCACCTCCGACACGAGTACTCTGGCGACTCTAAGGCATCTCCAGTCCTTCCAAGGCACCTACACTATCAAACCTCACCATACGCCAACCCATTTTCCCCCTTCCCTTTCCCGTTTCCCGTCTGTCATCCCTAAAACTAGGTCATAACTCCATTACGCGACGCATGATTCAACAAAATCTTAGCAACCATCATGCAAAATCGAAGAAGATGGAGATTCAGATCGATGAAGCAGGTTCAGATTGAGCCTAAAAATTCATCGATTTAGGGTTACACAAAAGAACAACAACTCTAGGGCTTGAAAGATTCATCAATTTAGGGTTACACAAAATGGGGAAAGAAGTATCATATAAATGTACTCACGAAGAACAACACCTCTTCCAAGATGTTGTTTACTCTAATCTCGTTTCTCTGGGTCATTGATTTTGGGAACAACTCTTAATTGCATTTTGATCCTGAAAAAAGAAGACTCCCTGTTCAAAATCAATCGGATTTGTTAGATATTGATAAAGACTAAGATGAGTGGTAAGAAGTAAACACAGATCTTCTCGTTCTGGCATAAGAGTAGAAAATGAAGAGTTTGTTATGGCCGGACCTTTCAATGATTCCGACGACCGAGATTCTTTTTCATATGAAGACGAAGATAATTATGGAGATATTCATGTCTGTTTTCATGGCGTTAATTTACGTGATGGTAAGGTTGTAAGTGAAAGCAAGCAAGAAAAGGTAAATGATAAAGGGTTGAGATCATAGTCCTAATTTGCAGGAAAGAGAGAGAGAGAGAGAGAGATTTATTTTGTATTATTTTTAATTGTTTTCTAACTGTTGTAATAAAAGAAAAATGGAAAATAAAATAATAAGGGGCAAATCCATCATTATAAAAAGTTCATAGGAAATTGGACTAAACTCACAACAAAACGAAACTATTGGACCATCCTTGCGAGCCAAACCCATTTTAGACCAAAGTTGCTAGTTTTGACATACTACAAGGACCATTCTTGCAATTTTGTCTTATAACTATTTATATAAAATAAAATATGGATATAACTTGGAACATTTATATAATAGTCAATTAAAATTTTGGTCCCTATGGTTTGGTCATATTAGCATTTTCAGTCCAATCTTTGAAAATTTGACAAGATGCATCCGTGTGGTTTAAAGAAATTGCACTGCACATAATCAGTCCATTTAAAAAGACCATTTTACCCTTACCTTTATGTTTTTGTTTTTCTTTTATTATTATTATTATTATTATTATTATTATTATATAATTGTTTAATTTTTTAATATTTTGACCGTTACATTTTATTTTATTCATTTGTATTTTTTATGATTTATATTATTTTGATATTTTATTAGAATATAATTTTTTTAATGTTTTTATATTTTGTTAGTTTACATTTTTTTTTATGTTTTTTTTTGAACAATTTTCTAGTTTTGTTTTTTTTTAATGTTTTGTTCGAATATTTTTTTTAATGTTTTGTTTTTTTATATTTTTGTAAAGCTTTTTATAAATATTTTTTTATATAAAAACTATTAAATAGTTTGTTAAATGTGAATATGATTAACACATATTAGGTATATAATTGTTTTATTTAATAAGGTTATTATATAGGCAAACCAGAATTCGAAACGAGTGTCAATGACTTCAAGTTCATTTGTTTTAGTTTAAGAAGTTTATTAATATTTTGTTCCGAGTGGCAAATGTTAATCAGAATTCTTATAACTAAAACATATGTGCCAATGTTTTTGAGTTCAATTTTTTAATTTTTAGAAATTTTGTTCGTTTTCGAGTTATAAGGTTTCCAATTAGCCATTATATAACTTGAAACCCGTTTTTGAATTTCGGTTAGCTCATCTGTTAATCCTATTAAAAAATAACTTGATACCTAATCTATGTTAATAATATTCACATTTAACGAATATTTTTATATTTTTTTACAAAAAATTAAAACTATAAACAAACAAAACGTCAAAAAATATTAAAATATATTCAAACAACACGTCAAAAACTAAAAAAAAACAAAAAAAAACTATTCAAAAAAAAACATTAAAAATA